AACTTCATTTCAGGCGAAGAAAAATCATAACCCGGACTTTGTGTTATGGGTCAGCATTCCTCACGAATTAATATTATCAATCAAATGATTATTACAGAAGTTGTACCGATTAGAAAGAATTAACCATCAAATATCTATATTGTTCCTACTTCAACTGACTCTAATCCATTAAATATCAATAATTCTTTACATAAATGCCATAATGTCTTTTACACGTTATTATTAGAACTATGTAATATAAAGTTTTAAACGTATTGTACAGTAACAACAACTATTTCACAAAATTTTAGGAATATATAAACTTTTATAATAATAAATATTTTATTCTTAATATTAATGAATTAATATTTATATTATTTTTTTGAAAAGACTCTAAAAATGTTATGCTATAATTATTATATTAGATATTGAAAACTTCTCTATAAGCTAAACTAAATAAAATGATTTACTAATTATTAAATAAAACTAAATAATAATTATATATTAATTAATAAATAAATTTAATTAATTAATAATTCTTAATTAAGATTTGATGCCACAAAGTGTTCTTATTTCTTAGTTGGTGTTTTATGAAGTTTGGAATAAATAACACACAAAATTAAGAACTATATATTTAACGTTTCGATGAACTTGAGATTTAATAACATTCACATTTGTACATTCACGCATATATATATATTTATATATATCACGCATATAATGTAAGCAACAATAGCAGCAACAATCGACAATGAACTTGTCTTGTTAATAAAAAAAAATTGCTGTGGAAGACCTATTAATAAGTTTTAGTTTGTAGTTCAAGGTTTAGCATTTTACCATATGGATTTTTTAACAACTACTGAATGTTGTGATTGTGAAAACTTCCTACAAAAATTTACTTCAATGTTCAAGCTCACATTTTGTTTGATTAAAATGTCAAGTAACAGTATTATCATAAATGGAGCAGTGCAAATTCACAAGTAGTTGTGAAAGGCCCATTACATCCACAAGAAATCACTGTGTAGTATTTGATCTAGAGATGTCATATTATCACTTATTTCGAAAATCGAAAGTGAGAAGTAGACTACAAACTGTTAATTTTCATCGCTACGGTCACATGATAAAAAATTTTTTTGGCTTGTAGTAAAAGATATGGATTTGAAAGGTATGTGGTTTTAACAGGGCTAAGCCATAAATCACACAATATCTGCTGTTTTGATTTCTTTGAACTGAAAATTTTCCGAACGTCTAATTTCATGTTTTGGTGACTTCAATAGGCTACCTGTAATACGTCACCACTGGAATTTTTTGTATGAAGTTTACGCAAAGGATCGTCTTAATGAGGATAATTTACAAAGTTTGGATGCTTTCAGAACGAACAGAAGTCAAGTTATGACCAATAAGTACTATAGAATGTTCAATAGAGAATATTTAAATAATTTAATATTTCACATAATATAATTTATAGTAGGGTTGTAATAATATATCAAAATAAAAATTTTATCAAAATCTCAATTAGAAATCTATTTTATTCACATTTGCTTTTGGAATTACAAAATGAATTACCCTATAAATAGCCGGTAGGGTAGTTCATATATCCAAAAATTAAGAAAATTGATTTTTAAGCTGAATTTTATTTGTAGTTAAATAGTTTGTGTTATATATTATATTTTTTTTTCTATAAATAATATAGTTTCTAACGAAATAAAATCAGATATCAGATAAATTACGGTGGATGTGGCAAAAGTTTGCAACTACAATGAATTCACAAATGAATGAATTAGTTTATTGTTATCACTAAACAAAAACCTTAATTTTTGTATTTTTTAGATTTTTTCTAATTCATTTCGTAGTGAAAAATAGTATTGACATTTAATTTATTGCTCTTCTTGTCAAGCATGACAATTAGTTTTTTCAAACATACGTGTTAAACCAGTTTAACTCTGTGGAGCAGGTTTAAGTGCAAGTGCTTAAACGTGTTGTTAAACATGTTTAAGCTCATACAATTGTTAGTCTAAACGCGTTCAAGACCGTGTTTAACCCTAAACTGCAAAGGGTTGCATTTGAGCTGCTTATTAGTTAAAGGATTTCAAAAAGGTTGGACTAAATAAGCCAACAGTGTTGTTGTTTCATATGTTATTTTTAAAATAAGCAGTTGTTCTTTTGTAATATGCTCACAGAAAAAAGACCTTAAATTGAACATATATAGATTATTTAAAACAAAAATTTCGTAGGTACTTCCAAAAGTCCTTCACAATAGACGAATTTTTAGTCCTGGCAACCATATGATTTGAGCTGCTTATTAGTTAAGGGATTTCAAAAAGGTTGAACTAAGTAAGCCAGCAGTGTTGTTGTTTTATATGTTATTCTTAAAATAAGCAGTTGTTCTTTTGTAATATGCTTACAAAAAAAAGGCCTAAAATTGAACATATATAGACTATTTAAAACGAAATGCTTTCGCAAAGAGTTTTTACATCAAACATGTTTAGCAAAAGTTTATTTAAAAATACCTTATGTCATATAAATCTCAACAGTCTAACACTGCCTTGTGAAGTCAACTGCCTTCTCTTCTATTTCTGAAGCATCTATTAAATACGCTTATACGACTATATTATTGTTTGAGAGATATAGTGACAAACCACTACTATAGTGTTTCGTCTATAATTAGAATTTATTGAAAAAACTTCGTAAATACTATTCGAGACTCAATTATAAATTATAATTATAAAGTTTAACTAGATAAAGTACCCTTCTCTTAGTTGCTGAGTAGTAAAATATGTTCAGCAGTGCAGAAAGCCATAAGCCATAGATATCAGGATTTTAAGGCCATTAGCGAAATAAGTTCGTGTATTAACATAAGGCCTATGCTAATTGTTATTGTTTTTTATTGTTCGCTTCAATTCGGCGATAATTAATGAAAAAACCATTTTATATGAATTAATTAACGCTTTTAATATTGTGTGGTATAAAGAAGTGATGTTGATGTATAGATTGTTGTTGTGTTTCTTAATATTTTTTAAAAACAAGTTTTCAAATACTGTATTGTATAAATTTTATTAAAAAACTCAAAAAGCCAATACCAAATTCAGGTTATTTTCAGCTGCACTTCAATTGGATGAGAGAAGAAAAATGTATTAAGAATTTTTAAACAAGTTTCTTTACATTTGAACGTCGAAGAAGTTACAAGAATCGAACTCGAGCCCGCGCACGAGTACAAGAACTTTGGCTGGTCGAAGATATTTACATACATTCGCTTACAGAAGGCGTTTGAAATATAGAGGAGAATCAAATGGAGTCTCAGTTTGGAGTTTTTATTGAATGTATTATTTATGTTTATAATAATTCAAAATTTTTTAAAAAAAAGAGCGAAACATGTTTTCTCAACCGGAATGGTGGTCAATATGAGAATTGATGTATTTAAAATTATGTTATAAAAAATTAGAAGTAATTTTCCACTCGTTTACAAACTTTGTAAATAATATAAGTGTTTTTCTGTAACTTATTATATATTTATATATATATGTCAACTTTAAAAAAAAATTTTTGTAGAAATACATTTGAAAAGATTATATTTTTGCAGTTGGACCTGAAGATGACGTGATCGCAAAATTACAGTTTTGCGTTTTTAAATTAAATTACAATGCTAAAAAAATTAAAGAAACGTTAAATGTTTTCGCGACTATTTTAAAATTACTCTCTTAATTTGTATTTAATTATAGTTACTTAAAAACAAAAGTGAACAATAATTATACATTAAGTTCAGTATTTGATGTCGTGTGAAGCTTTTCATTATGAAATAAAATAAAGATAAATAAACAAATAATAAGTGTTATCGACCATCAATTATTAAATTTAATTAATTTATACTAAAGATGATCAATTAGATATTTGCAATTAAAAAATTAAATAATTAAATAAATAATAGACACAGTTACTTTATTAATTTATTAAAATGAAACCTAAAGTACTATCGTAATCAAGTTCCTCTATGTAAACACGACTATCTATCGTGTTAATTAAGTTGCATTTGAAAACGTTAATTAGTTGTACTATCAAAATTCTTTTTGGTTAATAAAAATTATTTAAATATTGTAAATATTTACATATTTCCCTTATCTGTATTCATTTACAATATTTACAATTTGTAAATACTCCGTGAGTAAGGCCTAAAGTAGGTTTATGCATGCGAGCACGAGTAAAAACTTAAAACCTGCTTTAGTTTCGGTATTAAAATATTTTCAAATCTGCATAATGAAAGGTCGTAATGCAAAACTCGTTTCAAAGCGGGTCTTCCCCGTTTTGTATTATAAACAAAAGCTGTAAACGTTTTTAATATAGAAAAAGCCATTAAAATTTTTATTTCAATTTTATTTTTAACAGTAAGATATTTCAAATGTTTGTAAAGGAAAGACTCACAATTTTTCTTTTATTAAGATATAAAGTAATCATTCAAATCGAAAAATTATATATAATA